TATGAGGGCGTCGGGAGATTATTGCTGTAGAATCTTTCAAATAAATCACCTTGTAGATAATTACATCACATCATCGCTATTAAGCCTCTGACATTTCCTTTATTCTTTAATGTGAGTATAATGAAAGGCTAACATTAAATCCAACGTGCTTCTACCCAGCTGATAATCGACTAAATGGGTAATTATGATTTAACTGGATGGCTATGAGTTCTGGGGGCTCGAGGGTGACCTGCACACTTGATGATTGTTCTTGTAAAAGGACATCCTGTGCTCTGCGGCTTGGCCTTCATTGAGCTGTCAGGAGCTGTGGGGGATGCAGCGCTGTCAGCCTGCCTGCCCACCTCCACCATCCATGGGATCGATCACGCCGCCGCCTCCTACAGAAACCCAACCACCACAGCTCCTCCAATTACTGCAGAATGGGCGTCAGAGCCATACGGCGCCTTTCAGAGCCAGGGACAGGAAGAGAGAATGGATGGAGAGGCAAGCTTGCAGTGGGAAAGAGAGGCAGAGGGAGAAAGAAAGAGTAAGAACCTGGTGACAAGCATGCGCAGCTGGTGAAACCTTCCGTGTTGAACTTTGCCAAGACGGATGCTGAACTTAGACCCGTGTGTGCATTATTAATACTGACCACTTACATGAGAATAAAGACGCATTTACTCACCAACTGACATGCCTGAATTAATCATAGAGCCATACTCAAAGGCATGATGAATTCTCTTTCATGACAAACTTGGCAATTTTCACTGAAATGACAGATGTCTTCAGAATGAAAAAAGGCCACCAGGTCTGTCATTATCTCTGGCATTATCTGATGCACCATCAAAAATTCAGAGGTAGGGCTTTGTTTTTCTTTCTCAGCAGGGCATTTTCCACTCGCCAAAATTATTCAACAGCAGTGATAACACATACCGTAAAAGAAGAATATTACTATCACACACAGAGAGTAAAAGCGATGTGTGAGAGGAGATAATCAGAAATGGGATTATTGTATGTCCTGGGAATTTCTGTAGTGGAGTCGAGCAAAGATCTGACCCTTGAAGGGTGCAAAGATACATATAGAAAGCAGTTTCTATAGTGAATTCTGCAGAAAAATAAGCATGTGGTTCTCCCTTTCCAGAGCACAGTAGTTACCTTCCTTGCCTTGGGCAAGTGAGCCTCTGTGTATACTGTACTGCATATTATTGTGGGTCCATATACTTTAACAGTGTTAGTGTATGTGTGTGTGTGTTTTATACTGATGCCCTGCACATGGCTCCCGGTGGGTCCATCAGGTGGAAGCAGAATTAGAAAGGATTGTCCCTGCAGGGCTCTCACAGCTTCTCCTTCAAACTCTGTTAGATTATAAAATGTGTCAAAAACCGTGCAGCAGTACAGAAACATAAATCAAAACTGCACCCAGGAAGAAGTGTCTACAGTCATTTACTGTATACACTTTTTTATGTTGAGTGCATTTTGTAAGCAAGTTGGATTTCTTCCTGCAAGACAACCTCTGCATGAGGAAGCATCAGTTCCTGGTGATGCATTTCTGTGTGAAAATGAGTGCAAGTCCACCTCTATTCTGATTGGTTACATTAGCAGGGTGGAAGTCAATCAATACCAACACCATCAAGCCTGCTCTCTCTCTCTCTCTCTCTCTCTCTCTCTCTCTCTCTCTCTCTCTCTCTCTCTCTCTCTGCTCCCTGCATCCAATCCTCCGTCTTTATGTTTTGTCCTCCATCCGTCACTGTCAGATACAGACTGGCGTGGTCGCAGTGGTCAGCCCATGTTAGAGCCAGCACAGCCCTCTGCACAGTATGAGCTTGTCTTTGAATGTGCTCCCCCACACATACACTTGTGTGTTTAAGTGTTTGGTGTCTGGTCGTAGAGTAGAACATGACAGAAAGATGGCACTGGGCTGTCTGGGCTTTGTGCTGTGACTCCATCGAGTCCTGAAGGAGTTTCTGATTGCACTGCAGATGTTTATGCATCACTCTTTTTCTGGATAAAAAATTAATAAATCCTATCCAGACATTTCTTACATTTTTTACAATTATGATGTGATGTGTCAACATGAAAAGAAAGATGTTGCAACTGCCAAATCACCATTACAAATTGTATTTATTATGATTACACTAAGGGGTATTAAAGAAAACGTACTGTAAAATAATGAGTCCTTTAATGGTTTCCCTTTTTTATGTGATGAAATAGCATTGTTTGAAGAAGCCAGAGCTGCTGTTAGATGTGATCTCCCTCTGGGAACAAGTAAAGACATTCAATGACCAATTCTTTCTTGGCAAAGTCTGAATTAGGTTTTGATGTTTGAGTAACTTGTAGGAAGTAAGGTTGTTATAATGTTGTCAATATATAAATGTTACAGCCTGTTTTGTTGTACAGTTGGCAGATAGGCAGTGTGGAGGTTTCAGGGTATCTAAACAGATGTATCAGTTGCAAGAAACACCTAAAGGACTTTAATACCGTCAGTATATCTTGAAAACTATCCTTTGCTCTCACCGTATCACACCTCCTATCAGCAGCCAATTTATATTCAGTGTAGTAACCATAGCTACGCATGGCACAAAAGACACATTTTGGGTTAGTGCCTGGTTTTTATCTCTGAGCTTTTAACCCCCGATGAGCAGTGGCACAGCTTGAGACTCCGGCCTCCTTTGGTTGCTCCACAGTCTAAGGTGACGATTATTGCAGTCTAAGCTTTTTCCATCAGTGTCCCTCAGCACTGTGGTGACCTGCTGGGCAACTCTGTGTCCTTTCAAATATTTTTTGAAAGAACAGAAATTTAATGACTTGGACTCTGGTGTTTTTGCATCATACTCTATAGTCTGTGTAGCTGTTTTTATTATTTCATGCAATCTTTTGTTGATTTTTAGTTTTTTCCCCATCATTTTATTCATATTCTATCTATTTAAAGGTGTTACCATTATAGCCTAATATTGCTAGAGTTGTGGGCATGTAATAATGATACTACACAAACAGCACTTGGACCTTGAGTCGCTAAAGGAGACCCGCTTATACTAATCAGCTGTCTGGTGAACCACAACATGAAGCAGCGTTGGTTGTACAATGATATATTGTTCCCTGCCGTGCAGGAGGAGCAGGTTTGGACAGATCTTCAGTCTCCATCATGTCAAAACAGATTACAACAATGTGCGATGGAAGAGGAGTGTGTGTATGTGTGTCTGTGTGTGATGGTAAAAAAATAAGCTCTTATGCCTCTTGTTTTTCCAGGCAGCTACTCAGAAGTACAGAATTTGTACTTAATTAGAAGTTTCACACTTACACTTCAACATTTGAGATGCAGTTTATTCTATTTCAAAATGATTTGAATATGATTTACATACATTTAAAATGCAACATTAGGACATAAAGTGACACTCAATATATCCCATTAAATCCTTTGACAACAGTTATTACTGTACTTGTAGTTGGTAAGACACAAAAGCTACTTTGGTTATATTTCAACTCTAATTGAGTAACTGATAATGACAAAATATGATGTTTTAATAATTCAGTTTAATTTGGTCACATGTAGCACACTCACAACACATTTATTCAATTTAAATGAACATCACTAAAGTATCAAGTACACACAGGTATGATGCATTATATTGTTCCAAAACAATAAATCACAATGTTGTAAGCCTTTTCTTTAAGTACATTTACTAGATGTTAAATGTAGGTTAGCCTAACTCAAATGCAAGTGATGCTTAACTCCGATTTCATCAGTCTGTCTTCATGTCTGAAGTATGCGTAAAGAAAACAGCTGTTTACTACTACAATAGGTGTTTCAGCTTTCAGCATTTCACTGCTGGACAAATTGTAGCGAAATGCATGATACACATCGTAATGACAGACACAAATATAATGCTTGCATGGGAAGCTAGAGAGTTGACCCTGCAGCTTGTTTTTTCCTCACTTAGCTGTGTCCTTGTGCCCAGCTTTTCTCTTTTGTTGTTGTAATTTGGCACCACAGAGCATGTTTTAAATCCTGGGGCTCAAGTGGAGTATCTGTGAGTCAGCTGGATCTACAGAAGGGGGCATTCCCCATGGTTTTTAGATAATTACTTTCTTCCCTTATGACAACCCTATTGAATTTAGATTAGGCCAATAACAAACCTGCGACACTGCATGCCCTCTGCGTTGCCTCTTGTCAATAGGCTGTTAATGTGCCCGACCCTTGTCTCATTTTTCTTCGCGTGGCATCAGCTGGTCCCCTTCTACAACCACAGCGGCTGCCCACAGGCAAGTACAACCAAAACTGTGGCAGATGAGGCCGACAGAGGAAGTCTCATCAATAATGGAGAGCGGTAGCTGGGGGACTCGTGCAGAGGAATTGTGGTGGAGTGAGTGAGAAGTGCAGCTGGTGTGTTTGTCCAAATGGACTTTTTGAAATGACATTCCCCAGAGGGCATGCATGAGAGGAAAAAAGCTATTAATAGCTGATAGGCTGAATAAGTTGTCAAATTGCTGTTTAGATATGTGCCGGGCCAAATTTTAGCATTTATGGATGTTTTCCTTCTCCGTTCTGTCATCCTCTTCCCCAGAGAGTTGGACGGATATACTAATTAATAACACATGAAAATATATAAAAAATGACTTTTTTAATCCAGGCCATAGGCGGTTGTCATACTGTATGAGGGAAATGTGAAATGCCAAAACAATTCAGCTGAAGTTAGCAACATGGGAGTAGTCCTAAAAGGCGCATCCTATGAAGGCAAAAACAAAAATCTCATCAATTTCCTGTCTGTCAAGCAGCTGTAACTGTACCTCATCAGAGTCCTCAGAGGAATAGACACACATAATGATTATCTCTCCTGACAGCTGTCCAGATGCAAACAGAAATCCCGTCACTGAGGCACTGAGAATGACCCGGTGGCTGTTATAGTATGGCAGCGTCTCCTCCCAGCTGCCATCCTACTCATTCCCTTTCTTCAATGCCCCTCATTGTATTAGGAAGAGGAGGCCCATTCTTACTCACATCTCTCGTGCTCTTGTTTCTCCAGGGGCCAGCCCTGAGGACGTGAAACTGTTGGGAGAGTTTGGATGTCACCGGTGACACAGCTTCCACTGCGTCGGACCACCTTCAACTGTACACATCTCTACTCTCCAGACGGCACCAATTAAGGGAGGCTTGAGACAAAGAGTTGTGGCAGTATCCGACAACACCGACGCCAGGAGGAAAGGAATACACTGGAGGAGGGGCCTTTGCTTGCTGCAGACGGGCAGAGGACTGCTTGTGAGTATCTTATTGTTCTCATTGTTGTGGGGGGAACACATTTCCATCCAACTGACCAGGATGATACTTCCCATCCCCTGCATTTGATGTGTTTTCCTGTACAGCAAATAAGAAGTTCATAACCAGACTTTTTTCATGCAAGAATAAATGCAAGGTATTGATGTCTTTGTTAGGAGCAGCATATTTCTATTGGGAGATCCAAATCTATGAGGATTCTTACTGTCTGATGCACAGACAGCCGGGCTGACCTTGACAATCCTTGTTCTTTCTTTTCATTGTCACTTATATGCCACATGAACAAACACACAGCTGTCTTATTTATTTATTTTTCTTCTACCAGGCAGCTAAATTTAAAACTCTCTGAGCATCAAACTCCATGGTTAAAGGCAAAAGGAGGATGCAGGTGATTATATATCCACCCACTGTCTTTCTGTCTCACTCTACCATGGCTGTCTTCCTGCTTTTTGTCTTGCTTCCCGTCCAATAGATGTTCCATTTTCACTTGGAAATCCAGTAGAGGAATTAGGTAGACGACAGAGGCAAAATGATCTGACAGATCCACTTACCTCTGCTGTCTAAGATTCCCCTGGCCTCTGGTATTATTAGAGGTTGATATATATATATATATATATATATATATATATATATATATATAGGCATAGTACATGGGTGCAAAGGAGAGAAGGTTGGGAGGTGAAAAAGCCTAGGAGGGGGGAGGTGTGAGAGCTCAAGAGCCGATTCTGCTGATGACAAAGCTGTGGAAATAATCTTAAGGTGTGGAGGCAGCAAATGATGAGATAGAGAGGTGGGGGAGAGAGAAAGAGCGAGAGGGGTTTGGCTGTTAAATCGCTTGTAGCCTCTGTTCTCTCCTCACTACAAAAGAAAATATCATGATTTCTTATTGGCAAGCCAAGGGTAAGATGAATCTAAACTTTATACTCTCATATTGCCTTTTGCCCGGTGCAAACAAACACTGCTGAAAAAAGACACACATAGATCTATGGGACTTACATAAACCACACTACACTACTGGTCGATAGCAGTGCTTCATACTGCAGCAAATATTAAAACTTCCATGCCATATATATAGGTAGATATTCATTCTAAAAAGAGATATCCACCAGATTCTCTGTTTGTGAAGTAAAAATGGTACTTTTGTTAAAAGGCAGAAATATGTGCTTTGACAAACACTTTTTATGTCATCTTTTAGCTTTGTTTTTTTTTTTACAAGCATTCACAGTTTGCATTTACATTCACTAGCACCATCATCGGGTCTTAAATGACTGAAATCCTGCAAACATTCTGCAGACATTCCATCAGCCTCAGCTGTTGTTAGCATGCTAACATTCGATCTCCTCTGCAGATGTGCGCGCACTGTCTGCAACAATTAATGTGGACAAAGTAGTTCTTAGTTTAAACATTTATTTTGGCTAAATGTCACCATTGTACAACAAGTGCACATATTTTCTACTTACTTTTTTGCTCTTACAGTCTTTATAAATACGCTGGCTATCTTATAACCTTGGGTCGATCAGTCCAAAAATGCACAATAATCAGAAAGGGTGGACAAATTACCAGCAATGCCTCACAGGTTAATGCCAGTACAACAGCCCAAATCTTACGCTTTTAATGTGTAGTTAAGTTTGAGATTTTTTAAAGCCTATTTTTGTTGAGACTGTTGCAAAGAGGTATGGACTCAACTCTGTCCACTACTTGTGTGAGGACACAGTTTGTGATGTTGTTTTATTGGGCTTCATTGCATTGCATTGTTCTTAATGCAATAGCCCCACACAGACAGCCTCTCTTTACGTGGCTGCCAGGCAAACTGTTTGCTCACGTGTGGCTTTAACATGTGAGGAAACGCACAACATCTTTATGATGATCGTTTTACATACAGTCTCTCCACCAAGCTTTGAGAAAATAGCATATGTTATGTAATAATTTAGATAGCACTCTCAACCCCTTTAATTGGTGTGAGCTGAATTAGCACTGACTAATCAACATAGCAGCCTCTCATCATAGATTTATAGACGGCCATGATTGCTGCCAGGGTGAAATTAACTCTTTCAGTCTGCAGGGAAATGTTGAAAGATGTCTGGCTGTAACATGCTCCCCCTCACACACACAGGCACACACACACACACACACACACACACACACACACACACACACACACACTGATACGTATATGCAGATGAGACTTGTCTGTTCCTTCTGGCTGTCTCCGTAGAGCTGTCACACATGCTGCGTCTTGGAGCACCAGGAGACCGGGGTTGACTTGAATTAAACTGAGAGGATGTCCTTTCCAGATCTGCAGAGGGCCACAGAGACACATCCGCCCCCAGAGAGAGCCAGTCAAGAAGACAGAGGGAGAGAAAGAGAGAGAGAGAGAGAGAGAGAGAGAGAGAGAGAGAGAGAGAGAAGATGCATGGAGGAAAAGAAGAAGGAGAAGGGAGGTTGGAGATGGGGTGGAGGGGTGGAGGAAGTTAATAAAAAAAGAGGCAGGGAGAAATTGTCTGTGTGAGAGAAAGGGATGGAAGATGAGGTGGAGAAAGAGGAGGACACTAGAATGAAAGGGAGGGAGGGAAGATCAAATTGTGTGTAGGTGTCTGTGTGTGTGTGTGTGTGTGTGTGTGTGTGTGTGTGTGTGTGTGTGTGTGTGTGTGTGTGTGTGCGTGTGACAGAGAGAGAGGATGAGAGAGAAAGCCCACAGAAGCTAAGGCCACCAGACACACCTCCAATATAATTCCCTCTGTTCTGGCTGACTCTGGCTACTCCGCATACAGATACAGACGATACAGCATGTTAAAAATTAAACTTGAATATCTACGTTATGTTATCAGATAAGTAAGATGTTCAGAACCTGTAATCTAATATCTACAGTGTGTTATCTATGGAGACCCAAAATATTCAAGATTAAGTTAAAAAATGAAACATTATCAAATAAATAATCACACAACTGAATGCAGTCTAATAATACAATTCATGGTGTGACAATGAAATTGTGAAACCATCAAATACAGTATAAAAACTTAAATATTACTTTACGAATATTATAAAATGTTTATTCTTTTATGTGATCATGTGAAACAGAAACAGTCACATACCTGCTCTTCTTGGCATTATGAAATAAAACTGACATTGGGAGAAAATTGTGTTTTGAAATGAAATACTTTTGAAAAAGAAGGTTTTTAAAAATAAAAAGAGAAAATTAACTGGCAACTACTTTGATCATCTCTAACACATATCTGAGTCATTTGGTGGTTGCGGCTTTTTAAATGTAACAGTATGCTGCTTTGTAGAAACTGTTTTTGTAGAAATTACTGCAAATGAAATATATCTTTAATGACATTACATTGGGCTTTAACAGGGGTATTCTTCTATTTTTTTAAATTTTATCTAGACCAAACAATAAATTGATTAGTTGAGATAATTATCGGCAGATAAATCAGACTAATTGTAGGTTGCAGCCCTACTGGAATTAAATAAAAATGGCCTGCAATAATATGTGTTATTGTGAAAGGAAGCTGGGTAAAATATGATTTTATGACACAGAGAACGAAGGACTGTAATATTTTACAAATTTATGGGTATATAATTATAAACACATGGCACAATTTCTGCTTATGGACTTCTCAGTTTCTAAGTATCAGTATTCTGGTAATAAACACTATCGTCAGCAATAGGTAATACAGCACCAGCTGCACATAGAAGAGAGAAAATTCAGTTGTTTTACTCTGTGTTAGATGCCAAAAACAACAACACTGGGTGTACTTTATGTGTTAATCTGCCTCAGCCTTTATCACAGCTGCAGCATTGGGACTAATCTCCTAAACAGTGGCACATGATACCAGTGTCTAAAGAGCTAAGCATATACGGAACAGAGCAGTCTATGTTTAGAATAGATTACAGTAATGTATATCCTGACCTGAGGCTCCAGAGCAGAATTAGAATAGGCCATCATTTTCTATATCTCACCTCCAGGCATTGTTATTAACAGTAAGTGCATTTCCCATTCTGTTCTAGTGTCCTTTGTCTCTGCCTTGCCCTGGATGATAAACACGCCAGAGACCAAGGTTTTTGTAGAACAAGAAATTGGAAAATAAATTATTTAGTGAGAATGCGCCGCCCCCCAAAAAAAAAAACATCCATTGTATTTTCTCCTTATGCCTGCAAACTCTGCAATCCTTGAACCTTCTGCCTAGATTTCAGCTCAGTGATAGGGTGAGCTTGTTGCTCTTAATACAGGGAAGACATTGCTCATCATTGTCACTCCACAAAATCTACCGTGAGCTCTCTGCTGCATTTCTTCTGCCCTTTGTTGCACAAGCTCTTTGTTCTGTAATGACACAAACCAGCTATGCAGAAATACCACAGGCCACGTTCTTTTTCATTTCAATTTGAGGACATTAGCTGCTGAATCATTGTCAGATTAATGATAAAATTCCAGGCATGACGTACAATCATTGTATGTGATTACTTACACATAGGGGGAATGAGCAGTTCAAAGATAATAACACACACATTTTGTGGTTTTAGGAAGCACTTAAATGCATCAATATTTACTTGGTTTTCCCACCTACACTACAATTACATTTGTTCCCTTGGCAGTTTTCTGTAGCATAAATTATACAAGCTTGGCATTTACAAGCCAAGCGAGCATACAAATGGCTGACCTAAAAATTTGTGATAAAAAAGCAGCCACCATGAAAATTCTTTGTGAATTAGTTTTTTGTGCTTTTTAGTTTATCTTATATTTCACCAGTCTTACTAAAATTGTTTTTTAACCTAGGCAGACCCCTTGAACTTGTGATTAAACCACCCACTAATTGATAACTTCTGAAGAAATCCATGACTACTTTTTAAGCATGCAAAACAGAAAATGTGTACAACAGTGTTATTTTAAATATTTCAAATTATAAAAACTGCTCAAAGTAGCCGACTGTGTGCAACACCAGCTTGCAAAAGCTTTGAACTGGGATGCAACATGTAGAGCGTGT